ATCCTCCCTGGCTGCCCACGCACGGAGATTCCCTTGTTTTCGAATGATGCATCCGAAAAAATCAACAACAAAAAACAAAACAAAAACACAGCAAAACAAAACAAATCAAAGCAAAAAAACGTACATTTTTTCCCACAGACTTCACTTAGTCAAACAAAAGGTGCAAAAGGCCTATGAGATTACTATACTCTATCTCTCCTCTCAAACTGTTTAAGAGATCATGCGAATGTAGGTCAGCTGATTGGAACAGAGTAGGCTTACGAGATGAAGGAGAGCAAAGTGATCACCCACTCCTGACAGATGTTCAACAAGTTCATCGCACAAGTTCATCACGGGTAAGGACGGTGGAGTAGAAACTGTTGAAAGTAGTGCTGATTCTGATAAGATAGTGCGCGTTCTCCTTCTTGTGACAGGGACAATAATAAAGGGTGAAAATTTGATATTGCTTTCTCGACCTGGTACAATGTATGTACTTGTACTGTCACAAAGACGCACTGTTTCGATAAGTTACAGTAAGTAAGCTTTTTACAATCCTTGCAAGCAAAAATCTTCTATCTATTTGTGGTTGCCGAATTTTGCTATTCAAAAGGCTTTTTAATGGCTGCATCGATCGACATGCCCTTTTCGCCAAAAAATTCTTTAAAATATTCTCCAGATCATGACGCCCTTGGTTTTATAAGTTTTGAGACAGTTTTGCTGCAAAAAGCTAAATTTCTTTATTTCGCCTCTCGCTTTTGTAGGCCGACGCTTCTGTCTCTGTAATTTAAGAAAATCCGCCAGGTTTGTTTATTTCAAGTCGTACTTCCGTTCGATACTATCGCGCATTGTCGCGCAATACTGAGCACTATTTTAAGTGTGCAACCTGTATAGATCCAGCCTCATGTTTTATTTTTTTTAACTTGGTGCCAAGGACTACTATATGAGTATAGTAGTCCTTGCTTGGTGCTAAATTCGACTGAGATCTTTTCGTTCGATGCCCATCAGCGCTTTTTCTGGACTCCTTTGTCTATTAGTATTATATATTTGGCAACTTGGAAACACGTGTGTCACTTTTCTCTCAAGATTTATTGCTCCATTCCAGTAGAGTATGTAGGCCAATGACTTTCAGTTGGTGCTAATGCACCGATCATTCCTTTCATCGAAAGGGGGCCCAGCTTGTATGTCATATGTGGCGTCCGTAGTCGTGTGGTAAGGCTACCGGACTTGGAATCGTGAGGATGCGGGTTTGGAGGTTAGAGCCTTGGATAAGGCCCAGGACGTTATTGTGTCCTTGAGAAAGCTAATTGACGCGAATCTTCCTCTTTTCACCCGGGTATGAATGGGTGCCCAATCATAGACAGCGAAAGATTTTGTAAGTATGTTGGTGTTTCAAAGCCTGTACAAGGTCAGCTTGCATGCACTCTATGCAACCCTCGAAGTTGAGATTCTTTCAGAATGCTATCAGGTCTGTTGGGGTAATGATATCGATTGTAAAGCCTATAAGAGCTTACTGTACAGCGAGTATTTGCGCTATACAAATGCTGTCTATGATTGTTATAAGTTTCGCAGATTACCAGAGAGTAACATACAAAGAGAAGAAGTGCTGTACTAAAAAAAACAAAGATTTCAAATATTTCTCTAAAGTACCCGTTCAACTTTGAAATCAAGTTCAAAACGTTTCAATAAGCACGATACGATCCGAAACTGTGACGAGAATGAACCACGGAAACCCATAAGAGATAACAATATAAAAATCCGAAGCAACACGTCGGCAAAAAGATACATGGTCGCTTTCAAGGACAAGCGGCTAACCCAGATTTCGGGGGTTTCCAGAAATCTTGACCTACACCAAAAGTGGTTATTACCCTACCTATAGGAGAAGTTTGTTTTCATTTT